CTTGGGCAGTGAGTTCTCACTTTTCCTCTCTTTTTCTCTCATCCTAGTGCATACATCCTGTAGTATAAATAAACAAACAAATAAACAAACAAACAAAACCAGAACCCTGGATTTTGAAAGGAAGTGGATGAATAGGGAAGATTTACTGCTGAGTGAAGCAAGCTGGGCTGTGAAGGAGAGGTATTGTATGTCCCCACTTAATATGTATAAAGTGTCCACACTCTGTGACTGAAACTAATTGACTAAAGGATATAGAAACACAGTAAATAGTTGTAAATATCAGATATAGTGTGTGTGAAAGAGGAGAGTCTGAAGAAAGACATTTAAAAGAAAAATAGGGAGGCAAAGCATAAATGGCACAAAGAAATGTGATACTATCTGTTGAAGATATTTTATAGTTTTATCAACTGTACTAAGGAAAAATGTTCACCTATTGAAATGTCCATTTTGTAAGCCAAATAATAATGTGATGGAATGTATAAAGGAAAATGAAATAAAAAAAATAAAATTAAAAACCCTGAAAACAGAACTACCATTTGATGGTAGAAAAAAAAAAAAGTACTTATAGTCAATAAAAGAAAAGTGTACAACAGTAACATGATATATCAATATTTATGGAAGAATCTGAACTCTACTATGCTATGGCCTATATGAGACTGATTATTTATTATATAATGTATTGTAAACTCTTGGAAAATAACTGTACGTTGTTACATTGGTACAAAATAATAAGTCAAAAGAGGGCATAAAACAAATTTTTAAAAACATTACAAAAGAAGATGGGAAAGGTTAAAAAAGTGAAAGAACTGACAATGAAGCTCATCAAGGTCATAAGATAAAAAAAATCAATGTACAAGACAATCTTATTTTTATATACTTGAAAAATAACACCTAAAACTCAAATGAAGAAAGCTACTATTCAAGGTAGTACCAAAAAGAATATAATACTTACAAATAAATTGAATAATAGAAAAGAAGGCTTAAACACTAAAAGCTTTTAAAATATTGTAATTGGTGCTGGTGTAAGTGAACTTAACCATATTCCTATGATTCAATCATTTACCCTCTCCCACAATTCTTACTCAAATTCTGAATCATTCTTTCCATTCTATCAGATCACCTAAATTTCCAACTGCTAAGATAAATTATTATTTATGACTTAAATTCCTTTAGAAATAAGCTAACCAGTAAAACCTAGTATTAGTTTCTATGACGACTTAGCAAAGAAAAATACACTTTATAGAATGTGTGAGAGGAAGTATTAGACTTGCAACATTATTCGGAACCATGGGAAGTTTCCTTACCTAGATCTTGGAGAGTGATCAGAGAGAGATAACTAATTTTGGGTTAGGGAATATTATAAGATTCTTGCACATGCTTCCTAGGTTTTGTACTTGAATATTTCTATGATTCTTACAACATAATATTTTTTTTCTATTTATCAAATGGAATAATATTTAAAGTTCTACAAAAACCAGATACTGCAAAAAACAATATATTATAAAGCAAGAATGAAATAAACAATAAATATAAAACAACAAATAATTAAAACCATGAAAAAAGTCTACATGTATAGAATTTTTATGCTGTGCTGAAACTGAAAGAGATGTGATCAATTTTATAAAATGACAAAAATCCTGTTTTGAAAAGAACGATACTTTACATAATGGATACTGAAAGTAATGAACTTTCTGTCAGACTTACAAAGGTTTTTACAACAAAATTTGTCCTCATCCTGCCCTTATCCTTATTTATTTGAAATATTATAGATTGATGAAAAGCAAAGATGTGGGATGCAAAGTATGAATACATTCAATCTACATTTGTAAATTGAAGATGTACAAGGATAAGTACATCAACAAGACTCGCTCATAATGTCCTAACTCCTGATCATTCTCTGCGCTTAAACACTACAGCCTATTTTCCTAACCCACCAATTCCTTCTTCCTCCATTTTGAAATCCTAGATCCAATCAATAAAAATCTTATTTAGGAATATACTTTGGACCCCACCACTTTTCTGAGAGCTTCTTTCACATCCTTGTTCCTCAGGCTATAGATCAGCGGGTTCAGCATGGGTATCACTACTGTGTAGAACACAGTGGCCACTTTGTCATCATCTCCACTGTTGCTTGAATTGGGCCGGCAATAAATGAAAAGGACTGTTCCATGGAAGACAATGATGGCTGTGAGGTGGGAGGCACAGGTGGAAAAAGCCTTGTATCTTCCCTCTGCAGAGTGCATCTTCATAATAGTGATGAGAATAAACAGGTAAGAGGTTAATATGATAATAATGGTTATGGTCTCATTGACCGTGGCCACAATGAACAATAGCTCCTCATTCACGGTGACATCAGAACAAGCCAGACTTAAGAGATGGGGTATATCACAGAAAAAGTGGTTAATTACATTTGACCTATAAGATGGGATATCAAGAGCCAAACATAAGTGAATCACAGAACACACCGATCCACAGAAGTAGCAGCAAGAAATCAGTTCTATGCAGAGTTCCCAGGACATGATGACCATGTAGAGCAGTGGGTTACAGATGGCCACAAAGCGGTCATAGGCCATCACAGCCAGCAGGAAGACCTCAGTAACCAAACATGTACAAAACAAGTAGAATTGTGCCACACATCCCAGGAAGGAGATGGTTTTGTCCTTGGTTAAGATATTAGCCAGCATCTTTGGTACAATGATTGAGGAGTAGCAGAAATCCACAAAGGACAAGTGGCTGAGGAAAAAGTACATGGGAGTGTGGAGTGGAGAGCTGACTTGAATCAGTGCCATCATGCCCAAGTTGGCCAAGACCGTGACTGCATAGATGAGAAGGAACAGCAGGACAAGGAAGACTCTTAGCTCAGGGCCATCTGATAATCCAAGGAGAATGAACTCTGTCACGGTGGTGCAGTTTTCCTCATCCATTTTCCCACTTTGCTCGAGGTTGCAGAAAAAAAACTAAAAGGTATTTTCTATTAGATGACCTAAAATTTATTTTGGCTGTCTCCCAGAAAAGGAAAGGCACAAGAAGTTGGACAGTTCATTCTATCTGCAAATAAACGGTAGACTTTTGTAATATTGATGCATAAAGCTCATACTTTCATTGAGAAAACAAAGAAAATAACAACTACAGGAACAAAAAAATTATTTTAATTTGTTCTAGATTTTGGTATTGAATTAGTAGGACAGAGGGCAAAGTATTATTTAATTAACATTATTGCTCTATGACTTTCAATCACTTTTCCTGGTAAATTCTTTAATGAAAACTCCAAGTAACTTGATCCTGTAAAATCATCTTTAAGTATATATGCTGCCCTGCTCTCAATTTTCCACTGACGAGATGAGATACAATGATTATTTAAGTTGTATAATCCACAACTTTTCATATTTTTTGATATGTTCAGTTGGAGTATAGTTTTTATATTCACCATTCTCATTCTCTCTGTAAAATTAGCATATGATTTTGTGGATTAAACTACTCAATGTCAGTCACATTTTGGTAATTGGTACTCTTGAGTAATAATCTTTCTATAAATTTTACTCTTTAGCTTTAAAGTGCTCTGTTTGGTCAATGAAGTACTGCTATTAATCCATTTAAAGAACTGGCCAAAGAAGTACTTGGAAATTTATTTTAATGCCCAATTTTGGATTATATCAATTGCATTAGTTGTAATATTGAAACTTAGATATAAAGTGTTTTATACTTTATGTAAGAAAAAATTATCAAAATTATGATATATGTAGTATGGAAATTTATGCAGCTATGATAATTTTGAATAATTTCAATAACATAAAAATGATTAAAGGAAAATAGAATGTTAAACAAAAAGCAGTAAATTGGAAGTCAGCAGGTGGCATAAAGGTTAAGGCAACTAAATCCCACATGGCCAACTGCCGGTACAAATTCTGGACCCAGTGCCTTGAAGAATCACAGTGGGAGCACATTTGCATTCATATTTAAAATCCCTAAAAGGGAGGAAGAAGAACTGCAGCATAGCCATCCCCTTTGGGGATGATTTCTCAGTTTCTCTCTCTCTCCCTCTGTCTTCTTTGGAAAATTCACGTGCCTTATAGCAAAATAAACAAAGTAAAATGAGAGGAAAAAAAAAAGCAAAAAACAGTAAATTGGATCATACAGTTAGAATATTATATATGCCTACTTGAATTACATTACATACATAATCCTCACAACATTCATGAACACAAATGTTTTTATTTCCCCCATTTTTTTAAAGAATTATTTTATTTAACTTTACTTATTTATTTTAATTCAACCAGAGAGGGACAGAGTGAGAGAGAGAGAAGTGGGGGTGGGGGGCTAAGAAAACAAGCTGACAGCAGGTCTGTGACTTGAACTGCAGTTGGCCATATGGGAGTCCAGTATCCTTAACCACCACACCACCTGCTGACCCCTCCCCCATATTTTTTTACAGAGAAATCTATAAACTTGTATGGATTCTCATACAACATAAGTCATAATGTGGAGTGGGAAAAAAGTTTTTGTTTGTTTGTTTCTTTGTTTTTTACTGAGCAACACTTATCTTCATGGTCTTTGCTTTATAGAAAATACAAACAGTATGCAAACCCTCTTATGTATCTCTTTTTCTGTGGCCCTTGGTAGATATGTGCTTGACTATAAAGGCACCAGTGAGGTATTCCTGGAAGAAAGAGAATTCAGACTAAAGACCAACACTCAAGTACTTTCAACATTTGTCAACTGATTTCAAGGTGTGTAGGATATGTACATTAAAAAATTCCAGTTTGAAAATAGTTGTTCTTATTACACATTTATTTTTTCTTTAAATAGCCAGAATAGTGAGTTATGTGTGTTTCCCTAATTTCAAAAGAATACACAATTTTAGTAATTCCTATTTTCCAAACAACACATTTAATACATATAAAAGTAAAAGGTTATCTGTTGATGAGAATGTATGTATGATAATGTCTTTGACTTGACTAACATGTACAATATTCCTGATGGAAAAAAAAACATATTATACACTAGAAAGAGGTAGATTGATTAAATGTAAATTTAAAATAATAAATGAATAAATGAATTAAAAGCAGTAACAACAACAAAAAGCTCTTAAAAGTTAAAAAATCAAGGTGGAGTCAACCTGTGGGATGGTGGTTAAGGCAGCTGGATTCCACACGACCTACCACTTAGTTTGAATATTAGACCCAGCAACTTGAGAACCACTCTGGGTGCATGGGCATGTGTGCTCAAAATCCTGAAAAGAAAAGAGAAATGGAGGACAAAGGATTTGTGCCATGGATATTCTCCATATCAGGAAGGGAGTACTTTCTTCCTTTACCTCGTCTCTCTCTCTATCTCTCTCTAGCCAGTGCACTTGCCCATTGGCAAATTAAAAAATAATCAGGTTATGATTGTCCATAGAGCTGTACTTCTTAACCTGTCGTTCTATCTCTCTCTAGCCAGTGCACATGCCCTTTGGCAAATTAAAAAATAATCAGGCTATGATTGTCCATAGAGCTGTACTTCTTAACCAAGAATGATTTGATTTCAATGGAATATCAGACAATGTCTGGAGAAATTTTGGGTTGACATATTAAAGAGGGATGCTAATGACATCTACCTGTGATACCACTAAACACTAAAATGCATGTTAGAGTTCCCACCCCATGATCCTTAACCCCTACCTCTAACAAGAGAAATATTAGCTGGACCAAAACGTCAATAGTGCTGTAGTCAAGAAACCTGCCATGGAGAGACATTTCAAAGCGCTTTAGACAAAGTCAAATAATCCCTCTCCTCCCTGCTTCAGGTGGTGCACATGCCTGTGTCCCTCTATGGACAGTGCTGAGCGTTTCTTACTACCAGAGTCCTCATCAAGATGACTGTCAGGAGGACCTCCATGTACTCTTATCAGATTATATAAATAGAATTGGCATGATAGAAGAAGAAAAGAAAAGAGAGAGGAAACAAGAATTCAGCTCAATTTGTCCATACTGTTTTTCCTCTCACATTAATATTAGGTCATCAGAAAAGTCAGGATGCATTTTTGCATTGAAAAATACATCATAAATTTTCTAACAACTCAATAGCTTTTACATGATATTTAAGTCTGCACATTTATTTATTCCCATTTCTCATTGAAATTGTCTCTTACTACACATACACACATAGATTTTCATTAAAAAGTGCACAAAACATGGTATTTCTTAAAATGTTTTGTAGTTAATATTGAGTTAAAATACAGACCAAAAAAAGAAAAAGCATTTAATACTACTGTCCTCTTTTACAGTCTCTTTTTCTCTTACATGTGACTATAATAAATTACCCATAGGAGGAAAACCATCAAGTTGCAGCTCCCCAAAAATATCGCTCATGTTCTTTCTCCAAAAACCAAAGTGTCACCGAACCAACTAACCTTCAGGACAGACATTGCTTCCTTACTTTTAAAGACGCTAAAATAGAAAATGTTACAGCTTTTATGTACATCTGTGTGTCTGTGTCTGTATCCCAGGGACCCATGTAATCATTGCTCTTTATGGGATATTAACAAGATATCTTGGGATTTAAACAATTATTGACTACTATGGAATATAAACAAAAAGGAAAGCAAATGTGGGGTAGTATATATTATCATAATCTGACATAACTACATCCTAAGTTCATGAGGTGGTACAGAGCATTGGATGCTGTATCTACCCATCGCTTCTATGACCCAGTACTCACATTGCCATTACGAAATATATGAATAGGGCTTATGAACTTAGCTTCAAATCTTACTAGTTTGCACAGGGTCTAAACCACATCAAAGTTCTTTGAAATACCAAAATGGGTAAGAATGGATCTCCTTTCTTTAGAATAACAATCATGGTTCGCACTTACTGAGCACTTCTTATGTGCTAGGTACTAATCTAAACACAACTGCTGGCACATTTTATATTTATAAAAATAAGTGAGATGGGTATTGTTAAGTCTTCTTTACAAATGAGGTGACTAATGCACAGACAGGTATAATGTACCTAAAGTCACACACATGATCACTGGTAGGAAGATGTCACATGATACCTTTTGGTTTGTACCACCTATGTGACCATGTAAGGAAGAAGATAGGTAAAAAGAAGTTCTGGATAAGCATACTTCCTTCTCAGTGGTAGAGACCATTGAAAGGAAATGCCTCAAGGATCTCTCCTTGGCTAGTTCCATTTCCTATGTATTATTGACCTGAATAGCTATAGCAAAAATTTCTCTGGAAAAATATAAAAAAGACTCAGTCTAGCAAAGGGCCTTGCTGGGGGACAGGCTACCTATGGCTACAGAATTAACTGCTGGAACCCATGGCTCATCTCCACCCCCAGCTGCCTTTGGACTCTCAGGTTTGTTTTTTGGTACTTTGAGACAAACATGCACCCCTTCCCAACCAGTCCAGACACTCTTCCAGCAAAGGGCCTTGCCAGATAGAAGGTTACCTGTGTACCACAAGATCTCTACCTTGTTACTGAATTGAAGCTCAGCAGCTCAGTATCAAGTGCACTGGCTCTCTAGAAACAGTGAGGATTTGAGGTAATCCAGGACAAGTGACAACAGTGCAGGGTGCTAGTGAACAACAAGGAAGCAGATCAAAAGCAATATTGATGATTTCCTACTCCTACACATCTTTGAAAATATGTGTCATGCCTTTCCAACAACCTAATAGCTGTACATAAATACATAAATACACATTGTTAATGTATTGTTCTGATATACACAAAGTAATTAAATGCCTTACTTTTAACCTCTGAGTGGAATATACACTTAAATATGATTTACGGCAAAAAGTTTAGCTTGTAGTATAGTCCAGGCATTACATAGATATCTATCTCTTAAGGATCCCAAGAATTAGAGATAAGACCTCTCTCAAGACTAACTAGTTTTTATTCTTGTAAAAGTTATATAACCATTTAAGATGCATACAAAAAGAGTATGGATAAATACCCATTTCTAAGGTAGCATGTTTATTCTTTGTGAGATGGTTATTACTAGACCTGAGACAAATATTTTCCATGAGTGTTAACTTCTTTCTTCAATATTACCGGGCTCTGAATTGAATAGTATCTATAGTGAAAATTTTACAAGAAAAATTTTAAAATTCCCAATTGCCACATCAGGAATATAATACTATTCCAGTTTCATAGAAAATCTAGATAAACTTACCTGCTAGGGAAAAATAGGCCATCACCCTCTCATTTCTCTGTAGAGTTAGCTAGACCACCAAGGCTCTTACATTAATGTGACACCTCTGGGGAGTCAAGCCCTGGAGAATCATTACCGGCTCATTTATCACAAGAATCAATTAATACCAATGCCAGGTCTCAGATACTATCTTGAATTATTGAAATTTCCTTGAAATTACACAGAAAATTTGCATCATGAAGTTGATTGTCAGATTTTTTTGTACATAATTAAATATCCTCTGTCAATTAAGAAAACTAAAATGAAGCTAAAATAGAACACCAAAACGCAGTAGGATTCTTTGGATTTTGGAGGCAGCATATGTTAATTTTAGGCAAGTTATTCTAACTTATTTACAAAGTTACATTAAAGGATATCTATTTTAACTGGGGCCAAAAATAAGAAAAATCTCTGTAACCAAGCCACTCTGTCCTGCAACCTGCTGTGTTGTTTGGCCATGTGAGCCAGTATAGATGATTATCCTTGACAACGGATTTGGCAGCAAAGATTATTTCAAATTTGCAAAGACTCTTATAGTGAATGACAGGTCAGACTTACAGGATTTTATGGAAACGTAATTTCCTATGCAGAAAATCTTTTGAGAAATAACGTCTGGATTTTTAGTGGACCTTAAGGGAGACTTACTGATTGGGAATAGACTAAAGAGTTGCCATACAACTTCCATGTCCAATAATGAATGGGTGTTATCTGTTCTACTAACTTATAAAATTAAGCATGCAATGCAACTAATAGCACTCCTATTCCTGAAGGTACAAGTAAATCACATAAGCAAGTGGTAAAAATGCCAAAGTTCATTGCCTTGCTCTATTGATTCCCCCTTTTCACCTGAACTTATAGCCTCATGGAGTACACACTATGACAACTCGAATATGGAAGAAAGCATTTGGAATCAGGTGATTCTACCTGATATACCAACACCATACGAAAGTAGATAGTTGCAACACTATAATCTTGCTCTGGAGTAGCCTTGACAAACATCTGGGAACAAAAATTTCTTCTAGTATTTATTTAGAAATTCAAACAGTCTGCTCAGATCATTGAGATCACCTTTTGGAACTTTGTTATAGAGCACGTTTTGTAGCAATACTTTGAGATAAACTAATCCTCCAGAGTGTGCCATATACTCTAAATCTGTAACCAATATGTATTGTCATTTCTCCAGTAATTTATAAGATGCTTTATATATCCAATGTCTAAATGCCAAATATTCATCAACTTGTCACCTATAATGAAGCACTAGCAAAATCTTTGCTCCTGTAGGTAATACCATGAGCTCTACTACAATAGTTTAGAGGTTTTTATCTCCGAAGGGAATGGTTCTTCCACTAGGGAACACAGCAATGGATCTATTAAGATGGATTTGTTATTTTACTACATCAAGGAAATGTGGTAGAAGTGATATACAGATTCTGAAGTTGAGGCACCAAAATTCCTTACAGCTTCTACTTTCATTCTTTTCAAACACTACTTAATATCACCATATCAAGTTGCTGGTGTAAACTACTAGCAGAAGAAAAATTCCTTGGAAAAATACTGAGGGCCTCCTCAGCCAACAGCCAGCATCAAGTCATTTCACAAATGAGTGATGCCGTTTTGGAAGTTTTAGGACTTGAAGAATTCCCACGTTGATTGATCAGTGTCAGTGAGCATAAATGAGATCGGCTCATAGGTCCAAAGGATGGTGAGAAATGACAACCTGTTCTCCTTTTTAAATTAATTAGTTAATTAATTTTCAATACATTTTATCACATTATTTAACTTAAAAGTGAACATTTCAATATGTGAAAATTTCTCCCCAGTCCAGTTGATCAAAATATCTTCAACCTATAACACCACACCTCCCCTCCCGTCAATGCTCTTCCTCCGTATCCCTCCTCCAAATGTCCTTCCTTAGGCCCTACTCCTCCACACACACCACATCTGGCATTCACACCTATCTCTTGTGTTTGCACAATCTTTAGTCAATCAGTTTCAGTCATAGAGTTGACCGGGGTTCAAGACCCAGTGGCTTAAGCTCACGCCTGGTATGTATGTGTGTGTGTGCCCAAGATCCTGAGAGGAGAATGGAGGAAAAGGGATTGCAGCATGGCCATTCCCCCTGGGGACTGATTTCTTGTTTTCTGTCTCTCTCTGTCTTTCTGGCGAGCACATGCACCCTATAGCAAATATCTCTCTCCCCCAAAAAATTAGTTGACTGTGTGTTTTGGGATTTATTTCTGGGGTCTCTATTCTGTTCCACTGGTCCACATGCATATTTTTGTGCCAACACCATGCTGTTTTGTTTATCACGGCTTTGTAATATATTTTGGGGTAAGGTAGTGAGATGCCTCCTACTCCACTTTTCTCATACAGGACTGCTTTGGCAATCTTTTATGATTAAAGACAAAATTTACAATTTTTTATTCTAAATCTGTGAAGAATGCCTCTGATATTTTGAATGTGATTGGGTTAAATATGTAGATTAATGTAGGTAGAATTGCCACCTTGATTATGTTAATTCTTCTGATCAGGAGGAAAGAACGCCCTTCCACTTTTTTTTTTGTCATTTTCTCTTTTTTTAGATTTTCATAGTTTTCCTTGTAGAAAAATTTACAATTTTTTATTCTAAATCTGTGAAGAATGCCTCTGATATTTTGAATGTGATTGGGTTAAATATGTAGATTAATGTAGGTAGAATTGCCACCTTGATTATGTTAATTCTTCTGATCAGGAGGAAAGAACGCCCTTCCACTTTTTTTTTTGTCATTTTCTCTTTTTTTAGATTTTCATAGTTTTCCTTGTAGAAGTCTTTGACTTTTTGGTTAGATTTATTCCTAGGTATCTTATATTTGTGGCTATGGTAAATAAGGTTATTTTCTTCAGTTCTACCTCAGTTGCTTGTTGTTCATATATAAAAATGCTCAAGGCTAGTTTCTTCAGTTCTACTTCAGTTGCTTGTTGTTCATATATAAAAATGCTATAGATTCTTGCATGTTGATTTTCATCTTACCACTATACTGTATTCATTTATTACTTTCAGAAGTTTTTCATGGATTCTTTTGGGTCTTCTATGTATAGGATCATATTATATACAAAGAGAAATAATTTCACTTCTTCTTTCTCTGTTTGAATGTCCATTATTTTGTTTTCTTTTCTGATTGCATTGACTAGAACTTCGAGCACTATATTGAAAAGGAGTGCAGAAAATGGACAGCTTTGGCTTGTACCAGTTTTTTCGTAGAAAAGCTTTTAATTTTTCCCCATTCAGTACAATGTTAGCTATAGGTTTTGAAAAATGGATTTTATTGTGCTGAGAAATGACCCTTCTATTCTGATTTTGCTGAGAGTCTTAATCATGAGGGGATGTTGTAGTTTGTCAAGTGCTTTTTCTGTGTCAGTTGAAATAATCACATGGCTTTCATCTTTCTTTCTGTTATCATGGTGTATTATATTTATGGTTTTGTGTATGTTGAACCTCCATTGCATTCCTGGAATAAGCCTACCTGGTTGTGATAATATTTTTATAAGTTGTTGGATGCAATTTGCTAGTATTTTGTTGAGAATTTTTGCATCTATATTCATCAGAGATATTTGTCTATAGTTTTTCTTTCTTGTCATGTTCTTATCTATTTTGGGAATGAGGGAAATGGAGGCTTCATATGTTTTTCTTTCTTGTCATGTTCTTACCTATTTTGGGAATGAGGGAAGTGGAGGCTTCATAAAATGACTTTGGTAGGGTTCCTTCCTTTTGGATCTTTAGAAATAACTTGAGGAGAATGGGGGTTAACTCTTTTTTAAAAGTTTTGTAGAATTCAGAAGTGAACCCATCAGGACCTGGGCTTTTCTTTGTTGGGAGTTGTTTATTGCTAATTCAATCTCATTGCTTGTTATTGGTCTATTCAGGCTTTCTATGTTCTCCTGATTCAATCTTAAGTGAGAGGGAGCATAGGACCCTACCTAGGAGAGAATATTTTCTTGCCTCTTCCACATGCCAGAGGTTCCTAATCTCCAATGGTCTGTGGCAGCAAACACCAATCCGCTTTCATATTCACATGGCTTCGTCCCTGGGTCTTTGTTGTTTTTAACTGTCTCTTACAAGAACACTGTCACTGTATAGAGAGCACATGTTAACCCACTATGATCCTATCTCATTTCAATCCTTGCTTTCATTACATTTTCAAAGATCTTACTTCTAAATGAAGCCACTTCTGAGGTCCCAGGTGGACATAAATATTTTATAGGGACACTAGTCAAACCATAGCCCTTACATTATTTGACATACGATGCACAGATATTTTGCTAAACACTGACGTGAATAGAAATCAAATGATCAAATAATGGTATTCTTTCAATAGATTTAAAAATTACACTATAAATTGACTAAAAAAATTTATCATCATGTCTACATGAAGCAGTGAATCTTAATATAATAAATTCAATTCCTTATGGAAATATCAATCTTCAACAAAATTGTATTTGGTGATTCATTAACTTTCTGACACTCTCCTTCACATCGTTGTTTCTAAGGCTATAAATCAAAGGGTTCAGCATGGGGATGACCACTGTATAAAATAAAGAGCCTACTTTGATTATAAGCCATGAGTTTTGGGAATGGGGTACACAATAAAGGAACAAGACAGTCCCATGGAAAATGGTAATGGCGGTTAGGTGGGAGGCACAGGTAGAAAAAGCTTTTTGGCGCCCACCAGAAGAAGACATTTTCATGACCATGATGAAGATGATTATATAAGTAGTGAGGATGATGACCAGACTGCTCACTTCATTGAATATGGCTATGACAAAACAAAGCATTTGACTAAGAAAAGGGTCAGAGCAGGAGACAGAGACAATGACAGAGTGCTCACAGACAAAATTGTTGATGACGTTAGATCCACAGAAGGATAATGCCAAGAGAAAATAGGTGAGCGTCAGGGAAGAGACTATACCCCATGTGTAGGGTCCAGCTACTAGTAATGCACAGAGTTTTGGGGACATGACAACTGTGTAGAGCAGAGGGTTACAAACGGCCACGAATCGGTCATAGGCCATGACTGCCAACATGAATGTTTCTGCTACTACAAATATAGAAGCCAAGAAGAATTGCATGATGCATCCTGCAAAGGAAATGGTTCTGTCTTCCACAATCAGGTTCTCCAACAGTTTGGGTGTCACTACTGTAGAGAAACAGAAGTCAACAAAGGATAGGTGGCTGAGGAAAAAGTACATGGGGGTGTGGAGTTTGGGGTTCATCCTGATGATGATGACCATGCCCAAGTTCCCTAGTACCGTGACTGTGTAGATGGTCAGGAAGACTAGGAACAAGGGCACTTGGAGGTCTGGATATTCTGAGAAACCCAAGAGGATGAATGTGGCTCCAGAACTCTGATTTCCTTCAGCTAACATTGGGATTGTTATTACAGAAAATCTGAAATAAAGATAATAAAAAAAATAATTATAATGATTGACATTATTTATATCTTATTTGCCATGTATCAGGCATGCTAGAATGTTAAACTACATTAATTTGAATCTCTAAATAACACAATGAATTATAAACTAAGTTGCCCCATATTTTTTATATAAGGAAACTGAGATAAATACAAATTTTAAGAAACTTGTTTGTGGTTTGACAACATGTCAGTTATGAGCTAGATTTTTAAGTTGATTTTAGGTAAAAGTTGAATGAAGCAGTTCATTTTAGATTAAATCAGAAAATTCTTCTAAAGTGTGGTAAAAAATTTGATTTTTTTACAGTTCCAGTGTATTGAATATCTCTGCTTTTTAAGAACATTAAAATAACAATGAATATAAATTTCACTCTAAAAATTATGAAAGGAGTAAATTCTTACAGTCTGAGGATGTTAGCAAAGGTAGCTTTTACAGGATAGGTAAATTATTACAGTCTGAGGATGATAGCAAAGGTAGCTTTTATGAGTCAGCACAATAATTTCTGAAGTTTGAACATGTAGGCTGAGTGTCCAACTCCCAGCCCACAGACTGGTCTATGGCCTTCAGTGGGCCTCCCTTCCCCAACCCCTACACCTCATCACAGTGTTGATGGGGACCAAGGAGAGTAGAGAAAGGAATAGACAGGGAGGTCTCTATGTTTGCAGCTGTTCCCTATTTCCGGCTTTGCTGCCTGGCTCCACCTACTGTTGGATCAGCGGTGGTGCTATTGGGTTTTCATGATAGCCAATATTATTGAAAGGGTGTGAGACCTATTATTATGCGATTGTTTCATTGTGGACTGCAATGCCCAATGCTGTAGTGGTGGAAATGGGAAGCATGGTGAATGTGGTATGCTTGAATCACCTGGGACCAACTCGCCCCATCCATCCATGGAAGGATTATATTCCATGAGGCCAGTGCTTATACCCAAAAGGCTGGGGATCATCACTGCCTTATCTGAAATGACTGGGACCAGAAGTATTTGTGATTTTGGATTTTCCAACTAAGGATGTTTAATGTGTATATTTGGATGTTGAAGGAATTATAGCTTTTATATTTGCAAGCTTTCCTTTGATTCCATCCTTATTTGTAATCACTGCCTTTGTGCAGTAATCTGGTAAAATGCCAAAGCTGAATCTTGAACAAGCTGGAGAGCTTGCTAATAACCAAGTTTACAAAATCACCTTCAAGATTTCTGTGTAAAAATGTAAAAATAAATAAATGAAAGAAAAAAAATGGGAGAAATAAGCTACTCATAAAATAAAAAAGATTTCTGTGTATAGGATAATTGTGACTAAATATTATGAAATGGTTTTAATTAAAACTACCTATGTAAATACCTTGTTTTGTGTAATGCAATCTTTGATATGTTTGTGAATGTTATTTATTTTTTCTTTTTTTGGAGAGGTTTTTGCTATCGGGCGCGTGCACTTGCCAGAAAGACAGAGAGAGACAGAAAGATAGAAAGCGAGAAATCACCGCCCAGGGGGATGGCCATGCCACTATCCCTTTTCCTCCATTCTCAGGATCTTGGACACGAACTCACAAGCACCTGGCGTGATTAAAGCCACCAGGTTCAGGACTTGAACCACGGTCGAGTATTTGGGAGTCCAGAGACATAGTCATTACGCTAACTGCTGGTCCCTGTGAATGTTATTTTGAGATAGCAGAAACATCTTGAACATACAAGTATTTCATAAAACAAAAGTCTAATCAATTAAAAATGATTTGAAAATAAGTTGAGCCAATAACATGACATATAAATCAGAAACTACAATAAAAAAATACCATTAAGTGATATAAACAAAGATACAATTTTTGCTTTGTCTGACCAGCTCCAACGTAAAATGTAACTATATTTTCCTTTGCAGCTTAATACTATTTCTAAAACTTTCCTCTTTTATGAGGAAAAGGTACTAGGAAGGACAGTGACAAAGAGCTCTTGAGAGACCAGCCTAATTTAAAAAAGAAAAAAGAAAAAAGAGAAGAAAAGAAAAAAAAAGAAAAGAAAAGAAAAGAAAAGAAAAAAAGAAAAGAAAAGAAAAGAAAAGAAAAGAGGAAAAGAAAAACATGAGTTTGGGAAACATTTATTTTAATTCCAGGCTTTGTCATGCATAATATTTCTACACTAATTGATTTTTTAAATTTCTTTATCAGTAATATGAAAATAATAATGGTAGAATAGTAATTATTTCATAGACACACAAATATGAAATTTAAAAATGATGTTAATGCCCATAGCCCCAACTCTGACAATGGTGGATTCCAAAAAATGTAGGCTCCCAACTCTCACCCATTTTAATTTTTAATTCTATAACTATTTGGTATTATTTTACAACCCTTACATCTTATTAAACATCTAGGAATACAGATCAAGGACCAAAGTCAGTAGCTATAAACATGAAAGATTAGTTTTCTCTCTTGCCTGAATCTCTTTTCACCCACCTACTTTAGTCCTAATTTACTAATCATCCATCAGTAAATCCTCTTCTGTTTTTTTTTTCCATTTACTTCATTATTCTTTATTTTATGTTCAATCACTGTGTATCATTTTGTTATTCTTATCCTACTTTTCTGTCCTCTTTCTCATGTTGCATTTGTGCCTGTGGAAGATTTACCAAACTGCAATCACCGCTGGGGTGGATTATGATAACAGAGGCACAGCCAGCTTCTCAATGGTGCTCCAAATGTGGACTGTGAGATTATAAATATTGTATCCTTAGGTTTTTTGTGGTTCTTACAACAATGTATATTTAGAAAACTTCATTTGCTCTTTATTTCTTAATTTATCAAATCTAAATGTATCTGCTTAGCTTTACCTAATCCTAACATTAGCTCCTCCCCAGAATTCAACCTTTATTAATCATGACAATATTTTCAGTTCATAATGAACAGTGTATGCTCATTTATTTTTTTAAATTTAATTTACCTTTTATTTTGCCTGTAATTTTTTTTTGTCTACTGATACAATATGACAATATATAAAGCATTTTGATTATAAAAAGATGTTCCATTCTTACTCCAGTAGTATCTTCTACCTTACTGGTATGCCTATAGGCATTATCAGGAAATCAGAATGTCATAATATATTGTGTTCACTATTCTTTGAAGCATATTATTCTTTTTCTTTCTCCGCACTTTAGAGTTGTTGAGAACATTTTCCAATATCATTACATATATTGGAAAATACATATATTTTTGTGTCGCTGTACTATGTTAGCTACATGGTATTATTACATATCCTTAAAGCAAATTTAGGATTGATTCCCCAGAGAGAGAGGAAAAGATCAGAGCTCAAAAATCAGAGACCTTGGAAAAATAAACTCAGTAAATATAGCAGGGAGAGTAATGGAGAGCTTCCTACTTCAAAGGTTACAGGTCTCAGTACCCCTCGTATGAGTGACAGGTTGTGTGAGATACATCACCAAACTGAAACCAACTCACCTGTAGGTCCTGTTCTTATCTATTAGTAGTTTCCAAGGAAAGTTCGATTCAGAAGTCAAACATTACCTAGAGCGTAAAAGGCTGGTAAATATGGTAGAAGGTTACTATAAATGTCAAGCAGTGTTCAAGAATATATTTCTTTCCTTATATCCAGAAAATCTCAGGGAAAGGAGAAAGGGATCGAAAAAGAGAAAAAGAAAGGGAAAGAAAAGTTTGGAATCTCACTGTGACACCAAAGGGGAAAAAATGCAGGCCTTATGTATGCTTTCATGACTCTGGGGATTTAGGCCTTAGAGAATCATTAGTGAACTCCTTATTTTTATAACACAAACTCAGAAATCAGATTAAATGCCTTCCTATGTGTCATTTTGCAAGAATGTAATTTCTTCTATATTACTAGGAATGATGCATCATCATGTTTCATTTATTAATTAGTTTTTAAACATTTTATCAAGAAAATACACAAATTGACATTAAACATAGTTGCCATAGTAAAACTCAAAGGAAAATACACCAGTGAGAATGCACCAATTAGAGATAACTGATGTTAATGATATTTTTTTCTTTTCCTTCACATCATGTATGTGCTTTGAGATGTATAAACAATAAAACAAGTACTCTAGCTCTTTCACATAACTCAATAATTACTGTCATTTAAACCACTCAGTTCTCCAAAGAAATAGAAACAACAGAATATATAGAAAAACAGCACATATATTTATATGATTTCTATAATATATATAAAAGATGTCTATAATAAATTTCTTGTTTAGATGTATACATAGGAAAAACATGTTTTACACATATATATACATTTACAAATACATGTTTTACATGTATATACATGCAAAACAAGAGCATATGTATGTGTATAAAACAAGGGATTAATTCTATAATAAATATATGTTGTTTTTTTTATTTTAAATGCTGCATAACAAATTATCACCAACCAAGTGACACATTTTTATCTCCCAGTTTCTGTAAAGCAGAAAATGTGGCACAGATGAACTGGGTTTTCAGTATTTTTCAGGGTTTGACTAAACTTATAATAAGCTGCAAGCTAGAGCTGCAGTTTCATCAGACCCCAGAGGAGAAAAATATACCCCTCTAACCTCCTCAAATGGATGTCTGAATTCATGGTCTTCCAGGTGTTGGATTAAAGTCCCCTATTCTTGCTGGCTATTGGTCAGAAGCTACTCAGATCCTTGAAGCCACCTAAGTTTCCTGTTACATGACTCTCCTCATAGGCCCGTCACAACATGGCAGCTGGCTTCTTCTAGTCAAAAATGTATAAGACCTTTCCAACTTTAGGCTGAGTCCAGTCCCTCTTTTCCATGTTTTCTAGTATAAATTCCCACCTAATTAAGTAAAAATTAACTGATTTTGCTTTAGAATTTTATGTGCAAAATTCATCACCCTTTATATGACATAATGTTATCAAGGGAATAGCCTACCATTACTTCACTATAGTGTATTGCTTAGAAGAAAGTCACAGTTCTCACTACACATAA